ACAATTCCTTTAACCAAAGCTTCTAAGAGTTTTCAAAATTCGACACATCACACCCATGTTGTAATATATGTTATGATTTAGAACTTTTTGGGGGGATGAAACAAGTCATCTTGACATGCGAGTTACTTTAATTAGGGATTTATATTATATTGTTAAATTCCGATTAAAAAGAATAATTGTACTACGTGTGGAAACTTTACAGTATTTTAAATACATAGCCGATACAAACTATAAACGTGATTAATAATACAAATAATATATACCTAACACAACCTTTCATAAAAAAAAATATGCAGTGAAACTTTCTTTTAGGCATATTAGTCAAACATGCATACAAGTAAAGGTAATGTAGTGTTAACATAAATAAAAACAATGCGTTTCACACGGTCTGCAACTGTTTTTATCCTGCCAAAGCGCAGAAAGTTGTCTTTTAGAGACCATAGTTGTTAAATCAATTATGCTTATTTTTTATATGAAAATATAAATATGAATGCTGTAGAGTTTTAAGGACCAGACTATGAATCAGCTGAATATCTTGAGTTACGCATCAAACTAAGTAACATAAAGAAGCAAAACCAAGTAGTTTAGAACAATTAACAAAAATTATATTTCTCTAAGTTAGAAAGTGATAACTGAAGAGGAATTTACTGTACTGAGAATTATAATCCAAATAAACCTAAACGTTTTTCTCAAATTCATTAAATTAGACGGTTCTGAATGAATTACACTATTGAGTGTGCTGATGAAACAGTACTATTTTATGTACCAACATACCCAGATTATATAGACAGAATATCCTTGAAGGAATTCACAATAATCTTATAGCAGCTTGAGATTCCAACATTTCTACGAGCATATAGCAATTATAATGAACAAGTTTACATAAATGATTCCTCTCAAATTATATATAATAGTAAAACCTCTAATGTAGATTCCTAAATAAAAATATTAAAATCAGGAAAAATTCATTGTGTTTACCACATCCTTATATAATAATTGCACTTGACCTAGGAGACAATAAATTTCAGAATGTGGATAATTTGTGTGCCTCCAGAACATTCTCAGATTGTAAATAGGGTTCAGCCCTGAACACAAGTCGATGTAAACGTCTTTAATAAAATTCTTAAAAGACAGGTAGACACATTTCTCAGATAAGACAATAGTCATGCTGGCCCAAACTCCATCGCGGACAAATGTCAAGCACACACAATATATATATATATATATATATATATATATATATATATATATATATATATATATATATATATATATATATATATATATATATATATATATATATATATATATATATATATAAATTACACGATATATTTCAGATATAGACCTGCGAACTTCAGTAATGTTTTAGCAGCCCAATAACGGGCCCATCGTGTGTTGATGGGAAATGCATATTTCTTATATTGCCCTGCCACTAAATAAACTGCTAGCATTGCTGAGCCGTAAAAGACCAAATCAATTCAAAACCTCAAGGGAATAAAGATGAAGTTCTCTACCCTGTTATTATCTAATGTGTTCGGCTGGATTAGACTAATTGTCGTCTCCCTTTGATCTTTAATGGTATTATATACCTTTGTCTTATAAATACATAATGTACTTATTATACACCCTCGATATACAAAATGTATTTATTATACACCCACGATGTACAAAGGATCTGGTGGATAGTATTATTTATAAAGAAGATTTATATAATTTTATCACTTTATGTATGACATTTCCTAATTATGTATTTATTATCTTTGCTATGAAATTTTTAGCTTCAACGCAATTTTACCCACATTTAAATAGTTTATTTGTCATCATTCCATTTCTTTCCATGAAACTCAGCCATATTGTAACTTCTCTGTGTTTATATTTTATTAAAATTAACAGAAAAGAGTGAAAACAACAAGCTTGTAATATTAAACAAATAATTTATTTCCCTATGAAAAACAAGTAAAACTAAGAAAAAGAACTTACGGTTTATGAATCAAATCCATAACTGAATAGAAGTAATACAAACAAAAGTCATATAATTGAAAAGTCTTAAATGAATCACAATGTGGTCGTGTCAACAGTTCCTTGTTGAGTCACAAAACAATGTTCCAGTTTGAAATTTCTGCATAAATTTTGATAAATGTCTTGTTAAAGAATTATGTAAAGAGCACTTATATGTATATTTATCCAGGGAAATGAATCATTAATTCCAACAAAACAGTCAACTCAGACTGGTCACAGAAAAAATATATATGAACTCCGAAGGTATGAATTACGACCGCATAAAATCACTATGAGACGTTAGTTTTAATTCTAACTGAAACGCAATTTTAATCATGTGATGTGGTCACTTGGTCACTCTTTTGGCTTAGTGTAGAAACATTTTATATCGACCAACACGTACGCCAATGTACGGATTTGACTCTATTGAATAGATCTTACTATAAGAATTAATAATTACAAAAAGTTGTGTACACAGGACTAACTTACTGTTCCTGAGTCAATGTCTGCAAAATATACATTGTTTTCTAATGCTCGTTTATCAGGTCAATATGAACTGAACTGAATTTTCCGGAAAAATGTCAAACCCAGGGAAGAAAATTATTATTGTAATAACATGTTGTGAAATAAAAATAAAATAAAAGATAATTTAAAATTAACAAACAAGCAATTAAATTACGTAAACATAACAATTTCAAGTTGTTGTTACTTAAAATACTCCCAAGCTCCCTATTGCCTTTTCTCTTGGTAGTACTAATTTTCTAGGTGAGACTACTTCAATCCAAACCATCTGTTCCTGATCATGTTGTGTATTTCTCTGTATAATCATAATCTAGCTCTCTAAAGATCTCCTTTTTCCATTTTTCAATTCTCTTTTTTGTAACATATTTCAATCACATCAGTTGTTACCCAAGTTTTATTTGTTTGGCTATAATTGTCAATGATCTCGCTGGCTGCAACAGTCACATCTTTGCTAAATATGGTTGTTATGGTCAGTGTCTTAGTTGCCTAGGGTTATTAAAGGTGCACATTTGCCACTAATCGTTGCTTGGAAGGCTACTAAGATTTTTCGGATCCTTCAAATTTTGAACGTCAAATCTGATTCTTGCTTGTTTTGGGCTTTTTGATCATTTTCAAGTGGAGTGGAGACGATGTGGTTAATAAAGCATGATCACTTTCAATATCTTCTACTTGGAAAATTGGTGTTCTAGAGATATTCAATCCTGTGCTGAGTCGTCTTTCTGCTAAGATGTTGCCAATATGGTTGTCATGTTGTCCACAAGAGTCCGCAAGTGTTTAGCCAGTTTGTGTGTGAACCAACTCCCAACTTGATTCAAGTTTCATAGAAATTCTCTAGTTAGTTAGTTATCATTATTATTATTATTATTATTATTATTATTATTATTATTATTATTATTATTATTATTATTATTATTATTATTACTAAAAATAACAATAATAATTATAAAATGATGATGATGATGATGATGATGATGATGATGATGATGATGATGATGATGATGATGATGATGATGATCATCATCATGATAAAAACGACTTTATTTAGAGAAGCTAACTATGTCATTTGCAGGAACAAGTCTATTGTGAGGCATTATATTATGCCTTATAAGCTTAATGGGTCTTAAACCTAGATAATTGAATTTTCCCAAAATTAAGCAGTTCCGTGCCATTGACATGTGCACAAGCATCAATGAGCACACAAAAGATAAAATATAATAATATTTTGAACTTCTCATTTTGAGAAAAGGTGTATAAACAGAAAAAAACAGGAGACATTTATATTACTCAAAATCCTGCATCTTTTGATAAATAAATATACTTGACAAAAACAATCATAGTATGATAATATCTGGTGTTACAAACTCTGAGAATGTGATGCTTGCATTACAAAACGGAATGAAAAATCTTTTTGATTGTATTGTTATTTTCCTGTCCAATACGTATATACAATAAGACATGATACATGTGCTCTAGGGTTGTGGTTGTTGTTGGGTTTAACGCCATTTTTCAGCACACGATTTTTATTTTTCATGGCGGCCAGTATTAATGGTGAAGGAAGAAACCGGGAAATCACCGGAAAGAACCACCGACCCACGAGAAGCTACTGGCAAGCTTTCTCACATATCCACATTTGCCGAATCCTAGACTCGAACCCACGCAGACAGAGGTGAGATGGCAGTGATCTGTAACGGACAGCGCTTTAGACCACTTGGCCACTCGGGGCCCAAGGAACAAGGGCTCTAGGAACAAGTATGTCTGGTTATAAATCATTCTCTAGGAACAAGTATGTCTGGTTATAAATCATACTCTAGGAATAAGTATGTCTGGTAATAAATCATTCTCTAGGAATTAGTATGTCTGGTTATAAATCATTCTCTAGGAATTAGTATGTCTGGTAATAAATCATTGTCTAGGAATTAGTATGTCTGGTTATAAATCATTCTCTAGGAATTAGTATGTCTTGCTATAAATCATACTCTGGGACTTAGTATGTCTGGTAATAAATCATTCTCTAGGAATTAGTATGTCTGGTTATAAATCATTCTCTAGGAATTAGTACGTCTGGTTATAAATCATTCTCTATGAATCAGTATGTCTGGTTATAAATCATACTCTAGGAACAAGTATAGTAAAAAAATTCATTCTCTAGGTATTGGTATGTCTGGTTATAAATCATTCTCTAGAAATTAGTATGTTTGGTAATAAATCATTCTCTAGGAATTGGTATGTATGTCTGGTAATAAATCATTCTCTAGGAACAAGTATGTCTTGCTATAAATCATACTCTAGGAATTAGTATGTCTGGTTATAAATCTTACTTTATTAATTAGTATCTCGGGTGATGAATCAGTCTCATCATGCCGCTAACATGTATCTTGATGTCCAACCCAGTCACATTATTCTGACACCAGGCTGTCCAGTCCTAACACTAACCTCTTAATGCTGAGCGCTAGTAACATTTTAAAAAGTATTTAGTATGAATCAGCCTGGGTTCGAACCCGCGACCTCCCACATCAAAGGTGGATGCTGTACCATTAGGCCACAGGAGCTGTAAAGGACTTTGTTGATAAATCAGACTGTAGGAATCAGTTTTTCTGGTAATATATTAGACTGAAGGAATCAGTTAGTCTGATGATAAATCAAGCTGAATGAATTAGGTTGTCAGGTGATGAATCAAGCTGAATGAATTAGGTTGTCAGGTGATGAATCAAGCTGAATGAATTAGGTTGTCAGGTGATGAATCAAGCTGAATGAATTAGGTTGTCAGGTGATGAATCAAGCTGAATGAATCAGGTTGTCAGGTGATGAATCAGTCGAAGACTAGGGTTGTCTGGTGATTAATCAGATAGAATGAATTAGTTTGGGGATAATCAGACAAAGTAGAGATTAGATTGCCACTGATACAAAACACTAGAAATTAATTTGTTGGTGATAAATCAGACTCTGCAGGAATTAATTTGTCTGGTGATAAAATAGATAATGTGTGAATAAATTTGTTTAATGATACATCACATCGAATGAATTAGTTTCCTTACTGATAAATCATGCTGTAGGAATTAGTTTGTCTTACAATAAATTATATTAACGGAATTATTAATTAGTCTGGTGCCAATCGGACTGAAGGATTTGGATTGAATGGGGAAAATTAGATTTAATGAAATAGTTTGCTTCTCTGGTAATAAATCAAACGGAGGGCATTAGTTTTTCTGACTATAATCAGATTATGTTGAATTAAATTGTCTGATAATAAATTAAACTGAATGAAGATTGTGTGGTGAGGAATCCGACTACCGGAGTTATTTTGTTCTGCTGATACGTCAAACTAAGAAATTACTTTGTATGATGGTAAATCAGGCTCTGTAGGATTTAGTTTTTTTAGTTAAAATCAAGCTCTGCAGGAAATAGTTTGGTGATAAATTAGACCGAATGAATTAGTTTGTATGGTGATATGTCAGACTGAAAGAATAGTATGAGGGAATTAGTTTGTCTGGTGATAAGTCAGGAAATTATTGTAGGAATTAGTTTGCATGTTGATATGTCAGGCTCAATGAATTAGTTTGCATGGTGATATGTCAGACTGAAGGCATTAGTTTGCATGGTGATATGTCAGACTGAAGGAATTAGTTTGCATGGTGATATGTCAGACTGAAGGAATTAGTTTGTATGGTGATAAGTCAGGAACTGATTGTAGGAATTAGTTTGCATGGTGATAAGTCAGACTGAATGAATTAGTTTGTATGGTGATAAGTCAGGAATTGATTGTAGGAATTAGTTTGCATGGTGATATGTCAGACTGAAGGAATTAGTTTGCATGGTGATATGTCAGACTGAATGAATTAGTTTGCATGGTGATATGTCAGACTGAAGGAATTTGTTCGTATGGTGATAGGTCAGGAATTCATTGTAGGAATTAGTTTGCATGGTGATATTTCAGATTGAAGGAATTAGTTTTTATGGTGATATGTCAGATTGAAGGAATTAGTTTGCATGGTGATAAGTCAGGAATTGATAGTAGGAATTAGTTTGCATGGTGATATGTCAGACTGAAGGCATTAGTTTGCATGGTGATATGTCAGACTGAAGGAATTAGTTTGCATGGTGATATGTCAGACTGAAGGAATTAGTTTGTATGGTGATAAGTCAGGAACTGATTGTAGGAATTAGTTTGCATGGTGATAAGTCAGACTGAATGAATTAGTTTGTATGGTGATAAGTCAGGAATTAATTGTAGGAATTAGTTTGCATGGTGATATGTCAGACTGAAGGCATTAGCTTGCATGGTGATATGTCAGACTGAAGGAATTAGTTTGTATGGTGATAAGTCAGGAACTGATTGTAGGAATTAGTTTGCATGGTGATAAGTCAGACTGAATGAATTAGTTTGTATGGTGATAAGTCAGGAATTGATTGTAGGAATTAGTTTGCATGGTGATATGTCAGACTGAAGGAATTAGTTTGCATGGTGATATGTCAGACTGAATGAATTAGTTTGCATGGTGATAAGTCAGACTGAAGGAATTTGTTTGTATGGTGATAGGTCAGGAATTCATTGTAGGAATTAGTTTGCATGGTGATATTTCAGATTGAAGGAATTAGTTTGTATGGTGATATGTCAGACTGAAGGAATTAGTTTGCATGGTGATAAGTCAGGAATTGATTGCAGGAATTAGTTTGCATGGTGATATGTCAGACTGAAGGCATTAGTTTGCATGGTGATATGTCAGACTGAAGGAATTAGTTTGCATGGTGATATGTCAGACTGAAGGAATTAGTTTGTATGGTGATAAGTCAGGAACTGATTGTAGGAATTAGTTTGCATGGTGATAAGTCAGACTGAATGAATTAGTTTGTATGGTGATAAGTCAGGAATTGATTGTAGGAATTAGTTTGCATGGTGATATGTCAGACTGAAGGAATTAGTTTGCATGGTGATATGTCAGACTGAATGAATTAGTTTGCATGGTGATATGTCAGACTGAAGGAATTAGTTCGTATGGTGATAGGTCAGGAATTCATTGTAGGAATTAGTTTGCATGGTGATATTTCAGACTGAAGGAATTAGTTTGTATGGTGATATGTCAGACTGAAGGAATTAGTTTGCATGGTGAAAAGTCAGGAATTGATTGTAGGAATTAGTTTGCATGGTGATATGTCAGACTGAATGAATTGTTTTGTATGGTGATAAGTCAGGAATTCATTCTAGGAATTAGTTTGCATGGTGATATGTCAGACTGAATGAAATGGTTTGTATGGTGTTAAGTCAGGAATTGATTGTAGGAATTAGTTTGCATGGTGATATGTCAGACTGAAGGCATTAGTTCGTATGATGATATGTCAGACTGTAGGAATTAGTTTGTATGGTGATATGTCAGACGGAATGAATTAGTTTGCATGGTTATATGTCAGACTGAAGGAATTAGATTGCATGGTGATATGTCAGACTGAATGAATTAGTTTGTATGGTGATAAGTCAGGAATTGATTGTATGAATTAGTTTGCATAATGATATGTCAGACTGAAGAAATTAGTTTGCATGGTTATATGTCAGACTGAAGGAATTAGATTGCATGGTGATAAGTCAGGAATTCATTGTAGGAATTAGTTTGCATGGTGTTAAGTCAGACTGAATGAATTAGTTTGTATGGTGATAAGTCAGAAATTGATTGTAGTTATTAGTTTGCATGGTGATATGTCAGACTAAAGGAATTAATTTGCATGGTGATATGTCAGACGGAAGGAAATAGTTTGCATGGTGATATGTCAGGAATTGATTGTAGGAATTAGTTCGTATGGTGATAAGTCAAGATTTGATTGTAGGAATTAATTTGCATGGTGATATGTCAGACTGAATGAATTGGTTTGCATGGTGATATGTCCGGAATTGATTAGAGGAATTAGTTTGTATGGTGATAAGTCAAGATTTGATTGTAGGAATTAGATTGCATGGTGATATGTCAAACTGAAGGAATTAGTTTGCATGGTGATAAGTCAGACTGAATAAATTAGTTTGCATGGTGATATATCAGACGGAAGGAATTAGTTTGTATGGTGATAAGTCAGGAATTGATTGTATAAATTAGTTTGCATGGTGATATGTCAGACTGAAGGAATTAGGTTGCATCGTGATATGTCAGACTGAATGAATTAGTTTGTATGGTGATATGTCAGACGGAAGGAATTAGTTTGCATGGTGATATGTCAGACTGAATGAATTAGTTTGTATGGTGATAAGTCAGGAATTCATTGTAGGAATTAGTTTGCATGGTGATATGTCAGACTGAATGAATTAGTTTGTATGGTGATAAGTCAGGAATTCATTGTAGGAATTAGTTTGCATGGTGATATGTCAGACTGAATGAATTAGTTTGTATGGTGATATGTCAGACGGAAGGAATTAGTTTGCATGGTGATATGTCAGACTGAAGGAATTGGTTTGTATGGTGATAAGTCAGGAATTCATTGTAGGAATTAGTTTGCATGGTGAAATGTCAGACGGAAGGAATTAGTTTGCATGGTGTTATGTCAGACTGAAGGAATTAGTTCGTATGATGATATGTCAGACCGAAGGAATTAGTTTGCATGGTGATATGTCAGACAGAAGGAATAAGTTTGCATGGTGATATGTAAGACTGAGGGAATTAGTTTGCATGGTGATCTGTAAGACTGAATGAATTAGTTTGCATGGTGATATGTCAGGAATTGATTGTAGGGATTAGTTTGTATGGTGACAGACTGAATGAATTAGTTTGTATGGTGATAAGTCAGGAATTGATTGTAGGAGTTAGTTTGCATGTTGATATGTCAGAAATTGATTGTAGGAATTAGTTTGGTGATAAGTCAAAAATTGATTTAGGAATTAGTTTGTGTGGTGATACGTCAGACGGAAGGAATTAGTCTGGTGATAAGTTAGACTGAAGGAATTAGTTTGTCTTTTGATAAATTAGACTGAAGGAATTAGTTTGTCTGGTAATAAGTCAGGCCGAAGGAATTAGTTTGTCTTTTGATAAATTAGACTTAAGGAATTAGATTTTGTCTGCTGATAAATCAGACTAATGCAATTTGGATTGGTGATAAGTAAGACTGAAGGAATTAGTTTGGTGATAAATCCGACTGAAGGAATTAGTTTGGTAATAAATCAGACTGAAGGAATTATTTTGGTGATAAATAGGACTGAAAGATTTCGTTTGTTTGGTGATAAATAAGACTGAACAATATTTTGCCAGTGATAAATCAGACAGAATGAATTATTTTTTCATAAGTCAGACTGAAGGAATTAGTTTGGTGATAAATCAGACTGAAGGAATTGGTTCGGTGATGATACCGACAAAAGGAATTAGTTTGTCAGGTGATAAATCAGACTGAAGGAATTATTTTGGTTGTAAGACTGATTGAATTAGTTTGTCTGGTGAAAAATCAGACTGAAGGAATTTGTTTATTGTTAAATCGGACTGAAGGAATTAGTTTATCTGATGATAAAGCAGATTGAAAGACTTATTGTGTCTTGTGATAAGTCAGACTTAAAAAATTAGTTTGTCTGGTAATAAGCCAG